CGCCCCGGCTGAGGTAGCAGGGCGATGGGCGACAATGGGGTGATGGGCGACAATGGGGTGAGGCCCAGGTTGTTACCCCCCCGAAGGCCGTGTGAACCCCCCAGTGCTCGGAGCTAAAGGGTCCCAGCCATGACTGTCCCATTCTCGGCGGGGGGGTACGGCGTCCTGCTGAGGGGGGGGGACACCCTGCAGGCCTGTCCCCCTCCCGGCCATTGCCATGGGAACCCCCTTACCTGAGGTGCTGGGGGACACCAGGAGCCCTGGTGCTGGCAGGAGCTCCAGAGGCTGCCAAGAAGGTGCTGGGGTGCGGGAGGGGATGGGGGTGGCAGGACCACCCTCCCCTTCCATCCTCCTCCTCCCCTTTCCTCCCTGCTCTTATCAGCTGCCTCTGCTCTTCCAGGGCTTTGTTCCAGCACCGACCAAACCCCAAAAGCATCCCCTGTCCCGCTCCCCCCACTTGATATTGTGAAATTCCGCCCCCCGTGACCCTGGCGTGTGCCGGCTGCCTGGCGGGGAGCGCGGCGGGCTCGCTATCTGCTCCCATCTGCCCCCAACACCGATCCATCCTTGTTAAGCTCTGGCGGAGAGATGCTTCGCCGCCCGTGTTGTGAAGTGATAACTCAGCCGCATTTGCAAAACAACTTTCCTCTTGTTTATTGCATAATGATCCATTGATTGTGGGTAATGTTGCATGCCCGCCGCTGCAGCCGTGCGAGGAGTGCTCCCCTGGCACGCTGGAGGGGCTCGGGCAGGCGCCGGCACCGCGGCTGTAACTGGAGAGCGGCTGTTGGCTCCGGCAGCCCAGGGCTCCCACGGGGCTGAAGCTGTGGGGCTGGTTGCCCCACATCCCACTCGTGCCCCCCGTGTCCTCCCCACGTCCTGGCCTCTCTCCCCACACCCCTGCAGGAGTGGGACCTGCTTTTTCCCTTTCATCCTCCCTCGTTGCGGCCAGGCCTGACATCATGCCCTGCACCGTGATGACTCTGCGAGGCCTCCAGCTCCCGGGTAGCTGGCGCTGCCGTGGCTTGTACCGGGCAGCACCTCCCAGGAACGCCCCCCAGGATCGGGGAGCCGGCGTGTGGCACGTGAGAGCCATGGGGACGGGTGGTGGGAGCCGATCAGCACCGAAGCTGCTGCCCTCCCTGGGGTCCTGGCATTGGCCTGGCACTGCCCCATGGCAGAGACAGGCCGTGGTGGAGGCAGTGCCTGTGCCGGCTGCCTGGGGAAACTGAGGCAGGGAGCAGCAATGGGGGTGCCACGCAGCCCCTGGCAAAGCCCAGTGCCTGAGGCTGTCCCCCCCGGCAAGGCTGGTGCAAGCTGTGGTGGTCTACAAGCCTCCTGGAGCACCACGCTGGATCCGTCCTGTGGGACTGGGATGTGGTACCCAGCACCACCAGGCTCCCCCGTCCCCTTCGCTGTGGTCCCCAGTCCCGGGCAGGGCCACCAGGGACACGGCAAGGTCACAGGGTCCTGTCTGGGTCCCAGTGTCATTGTCCTGTGGCCTGTGGCATCATTGGCTGGACCAGGGGAGGAAGGACAAGGACATGTCCCCTTGCTGGGGACAGCCCCGGGGGTGGAGGGTGCCCCGTTACCTCCCTTTGCTGGATCGCCTGGGGCTCGATGTTGGGGGACAGACGCAGGGGGGATGGGGTGACCATCAGGGTGGGCAGTGCTGGCGGTGCCAGCGGGTGTGTGCACGTGCGTGCAGTCACGGCCAGGCCGCCTGGTGCGTGCGGCACTGGGGACCGTCCCCGCGTGACCGCGGGACGGGGTCGGTGCCCGCACAGGCTGCAGTTTGCGGGACAAAGGTGAAGCCATTTCGCGCCGTAAACACTGTCGGCAGAGCGGCACGGGGCAGGTGGGGCCGGGCAGAGGCCGCCGAGCTTGTGACAACCTATTTCTGGTTTCACGTCTCGGGACACAGGTGCGCCCCGGCCCCTGCCCCGGCTGATGTCACCAGCCACGAGGCTGGGGGAGGAAGAGGAGCTGGCCAGTCGGCGGCCAGGAGCGAAGGCCAAGGTGACGTGCGGTGCCAGCTGCGTGCAGCCCGGCAGGTAGGCACGGCCCAACGCCAGGCTGCGCTTGGCAGGGGCAGAGCCACGTCCCCGAGGCTGGCCGGCCACGCCAGGCCCTTACACGTTTGGCCGGAGAGCGGGATGCACCCAGCCCTGCCCGGGGAGGACGGGTGCTGCCACGGGGTGATGCGAAGCCTCGTGCCACACGGCCGGTCCAGGAGCACACCCCTGGCCCAGAGCTGGACCTGCTGCCGCGACTGTGGAAGCTCGGGGGGGGCACTCAAGCCCCAGGACTGGGGCTTCCCCCTGCCTTGGGGCAGCAGGGCTTGGGGATCCCCCAGTACCAGCACCCCAGGTGTCTCCTGGCTGGTCCGGGCTGCCCCCAGCAAGACACACTGGGCCCTGCTGGGGGGCTCAGAGCAGAGCAGGGCTGGTGGCCAGTCCCCACCGGTGCCACACACACGCCGGAGAGTGGTGCCAAGGTGGAGGCGAGCAGCAGGAGGAATTTTTCAAGCGTAGCTTGCCATGCTGTGCCGTGCCGTGCCAGGGTGGCTGACTTAGTCCCCTGCTCCCCCCAAGATGCACAGGGCTGCATCACCCCACCCTGCCATGTGGCACCGGCACAGCCACGCACCGTGACCAGACTGTGGCTGGCCACTGTCAGCCAGTGGCCATGGGGGGACACAGCTCCTGGCAGTGCTGGGTGGCACTGCCCCAGCTGGACCATGGCCACCCCACGCAGCTCCAGCCTGGGGCCGGGAGCCAGGTGACACCCCGAGATGGGGGTTCCAGGGCAGAGGCCCCAACCCCACAATGGGACCGCGGCAGGGGGGGATGTGGGGAGCCCGGTGCCTGCCGGGAGCGCTCCGAGGACCTGTCTGACGAGTTCGCCGGCTCTTCCCGCACCCGGACAAGCCCGGGCCGGCGGGACGCCGAGCCACCGCCCAGCAGCGCTTGCCAGGGTGGGGGAGAGCGGCTGCCCCACCACCACAGCAGTGGGGACCCCCTGACTGAGGCTGCATCTGCAACACGTCTGTCCCCACTGGGAGAGGGGCCACAGCCCCCCTGGCCCCACGCTTTGACCCCCCTGTGGGCAAAGTGGCTGGCCCCCTCCTGGAGGCACTGGCCCCCCAGCCCAGGGCTGCAGAGTCAGGACCCACACAGCTGCTCCCCTGCACCCTCCAGGGCTATGGGGTGCCAGCCACGGGGCTGGGTGCACACCCTCCTCCATAGCCCCAGCAACACCCCCCAACTGTGACCCCAGTGTGTCTCCGGGCAAAACCCCCTCCCCACACATCCCCTTGCCTTGCTGGAGGCAGTGGGGGGGAGCCGAGGACGTCCCCCTCACCCCACGGGAGCTGCTGCACAGACAGGCATGCGCCACATCCCCCCGACGCTGGCAGGAGCCGACATGCCCGGCAGAGCCAGACGCGTCGGTGAGAGCGACACGGGGATTCCCACGGGGCCCCCAGGCATATTGGGGTGTCTGCCCGCGGCTGGCCCCCCCCTGCAGCCAGTGAGGATGGTGAGGAGGGCTCTCCTGCACCCGCTCCTCCCAGCCACTGAACCCCAGCACCCCCAGGGACCCTGGGGATGCGTGCCATGCCAAGGACACTGCCCACTGCCCTTACCTGGGGGTGCTGCCTGCCCTCTGCACCACGCCGTCCTCCCACGGGCAGCACTGGGGGGGTCCTGCCAGATGCTCCATGACAGTGCCTGGGGGGGGCCTCAATGGGGAGCAGGATGGTGGGGAGTGCCCGGCGTCGCCCTGGGGTGCCTTTGCTGCCAGCAGCACCGAGCCCATGACCGGGGCCGTTGTGCCTGGGGCTGGTGGCACGATGAAGGTTGGCACCTGGTGCTCGCTGCCCTTGCCTGCTCCCATGCCTGACTGGGAGCACTGCACACCGCCGGGACAGGGGTCGGCTTTTTTTATCCTTTTATTATTTTTTTTTTTTTAATAGACTAAGAGCAGAATATGAAAATCACCAGCCAAAGCACTTGAAAAAAAGGTTGAGTTTGTTTTTTTGTTCTGTTTTGTTTTTCCCCAAAAAGTGTCTGTGCGTTTGCATAGGTCGGGTCTTCACGGAAGACGAGGAAAATCCAACACGTTTGACTATGTACAAGCCAGCCCGGGGCCGGCGTCGCTGCCTATGGTACAGTATAGATATATCTGTATAGTCGCTCTCTGTACAGTATGTATAGATCTCTATATAGGTATGTACAGCCTGCCCGGCCCTGGGCGTCCCTGCCCTCACCGGGCTCTCCCGGCTGGTTCTGCCCCCCCAGCCACGGGGCACAGGGTGGGCTGCAGGCGGGGGTCCGCGCCGCGGGACGGTGTCGGTGGAAGGTGCGGTGCGTGTGGCAGCACCGAGCCGCATCCTCGCAGACGTGGCCCCGGCATGGTGGCGGGGGGACGAGTCCCAGCCAGGCTCGGCGCGTCCCATGGACCCCTGCCCCACGGGGCGGCTCTCCGGGCAGGGAGGGGGTGGTCCCGCAGTGGTTCCCCGGTGGCTCTCATGAGGGGCGGCAGGTCGGGGGGTCCCCACTCGGCGGAGCCGCGCTGGCTGGGCCCCCGCCGGCACCGGGAGCTAGGAGGCCAGTAGTGTCATGAGGAAGAGCGCGGCGGCCACAGCCAGGGGCAAGTGTTCCCGCTTGGGGCTGGTGCCACTGATGCTCTTCTCCAGCTTGGGCATCTCCGGGTTGAAGTTGTCTGTGGGCAAGAAGGAGAGGGTAAGGGTGGCACCAGGGGTGGCCCCAAACCCCCACCCCGCGGCTGGGGCTGTCCTGGGGGCGGCGGCGATGGGGGGGTGAGGGGACGGGACAGGGGGCGGGGAGCTCTGCCCGACTCACCCAGGTCCTCGATCTTCACCTCGGGCCGCAGGGTGAACTGCGGCAGGGTGGGCACCAGCTTCTCCCCGGAATGCGACGCTGCAAGAGGGAGAGAGGGGATGTGGGGGTGTCACACTCCCTGGCCACCTTGTGCCGCAGCCCCTTCTCCCCCCTTCTTCCCCCCGGGAGGGATGGGGGACCCCACGCCGCCCCCCCGCAGCCCCCAGGGCAGGCACGGGAGTACTTACTGGAGGCGCAGCAGACGAACACCTTCATCTTCAGGCAGGCCCGGTGGTGGTTGTGCGTCGGCGTGGCTGCAAGGCAAGAGCAGGTCGGGGTGACCCCAGCCCTGGGCACCCGCAGGCTCTGTGAGTCTGGGCAGGGGGGAGTCTGGCCCTGCCTGGGGGTGCGCTTTGGGCTGGGGAGATGCAGCAGCAGCAGCCCTGTCTTGCACCCTGAGGCTGCACCTGCATCAGCACCCCCCAGCACCCCAGTCCTACATCAGCACCTCCACCCACTTCCCCATCCTGCTCCCCTGCACCTCCATCTTTCTCCACACCCCCATCTCACTCCTGCATCACCCCCCCAACCCCGACCCTCCCCACACACCTCTTCCACCCCACAACCCCATCCCTGAGCTCAGGGTGCCTGCTCCAGCGGGAGGGGGGCATGGGCGGATGCAGCAAGGGTCCAGCTGGGAGGGTCAGCGGAGGGGGGGGTCCTGGCCAGGGTGGGGGTGCAGAGGGGCCCGACCAGGTGGTGCAGTGTGGGGGGACCAGCTGGTGTGGGATGGGGTGGCTGGGAATGGGTCCTGCCCGGCGCCCCACGTACAGATGTAGTAGTACTCCTGCCCCGCACGGAACTCGTAGCCCAGCGAGAAGGCGCTGTAGCGCTGGAACTTCTCCGAGAACTTGATGGGGCTGTGGGGCGCGTGGGGCCGGTTGCACTCCCAGCGCTTGAAGCCCTGGCTGGTGTTGCAGGTGCGGTAGCCCTCCGCGTTCACCATGTAGAGCACGTACTGCTCCAGCCGGTGCTCGGGCACTGAGGCGTTGTAGTGCGGGCAGTAGATGTCCAGGTAGTCGTTGACGTTCACCTGCACCGTGTAGCCCTCCCGCCGCAGGCTGCAAGGGAAGGAGGGGATGAGGGGGTCAGGGACACCCTTTCCAAACACGGGCTCCTCCTCAAAAGGGACCTGGAGGCTGGAGAACGAGCCAGTCCCAGAGCACAGATCCCGGGGGGCAGAGATGTCCCCCTGCTCAAACTGTACCTGAAGCCCCCCAACACACCAGGACCCCGGCACAACCTCAGCCCCACAGACCCGCGGGGCAACAGCATCACCTCAGGGGGTGCAGGCTGGCCTGGCACAGGAGGGATGCTGCTGGGGACGGATGCCATGGGTGCCAAGCCACACACATGGGTGGGATGCCAGTGAGGGCACGGGTGCATGAGACAGCACTGCTGGGTCCTGCTGGGAACATGCTGGTGGCCTCAAGGAGGGGACAGACAGCGGGACAGACCGACCGATGTGGCCACCAGGGCTGATGGGCACCAGGGACCCTGCGGGCCACAGCCCCTGGTCCTCACCGTACTGCCCTGGGTGTGGGGATGGGGGGGGGAGACACACACAGGGCCCTGGCAGCCGACCCACCGCGCTGCCCACCATGGCCCCAGCCCCGCCACGCGCCGCAGCTCACAGAGAGGATTTCTCACCCTGCTCTGCCTAATCCCGTTAGTTTGTTAATGCCGTAAAGGGTGGCCCTGGGGGAGCCTCATTTACATTGATTAGGAGCGGCAATCCCCTCAGATCCACTCAGGAGAGGCTCCGCTGGCTCCTAATCCGCGCCCGATGGAAATCCCGGCCGCAGTAATCCTCACCGCCGTGCTGACCCACTGCTCCTGCCAATTAATTACGCGCCGGCACTGCGAGGCGCTGGCTCTGCACCGAGATGCCGTGGCAGTGCCAGACCCTGGCCAGACCCGGCTCCAATGCTCCGCTCAGCAGCCGTGGTGCCCCTCTGCACCGCATCAGTGTGCCCCCCTCAACCTTGCAGTGCTGAGGGTCCCCCAGGACGTGGACCACCCTGGCACGCGTGGCCGGGCTCCACCACAGGGCACCGCTCTGGCTCACAGTCCCCTTCAGGGCAAACCTGGGCTCACGAGCCCCTGACACTGCACTCGGGGTCCCCTTGCCTCACGAGGGGGGAGGTCCTGCACCCCCCCCCAGGTGCTGCCGGCAGTGGAGCCGGTTCCCTGGGTCTCGCAGGCAGGGCCAGGCAGGCAGCGGGCATGGCCACGCGTGTAGACACCCCACCCCGCCTCACCGCCCCCGGCCACGTTTGGGGAGCCCCGGCACCCAGCCAGCGCCCGCGGCACCCCGGCACGCAGCACCTCAAACCGGTGCCAGAGAGACAACCAGCCGGGGGGGGGACCCAGCATCCGCCAGCAAAGAGGGACCCAGGCAGCCATTCCATCCCACGCGGGGCTGCCACCAGCCACGGGGGACGTGGGGGCTGACAGCAGGTCTCGTCACCCATGGGGCAGGGAGCGCAGCCCCACGCGGCACCTCCCTCACCGCGCAGCCGCTACTCGCCAGCCCAGCCTGGCACTCGCCGGCCGCCGGGCAACTCCTCCGCCAGCAAGGTGCTGAGGCAGCCACCCTTGCTCCGCAGGGCGCCGGGACCTTTCATCTTCCCCCTTTGATGTGGTGGGAAGGGCCGGGAGGGGGGCGTCTTGTTATTAAAGAAATGGCCCCAAGGAGAAAATTGCAATTAAACTCTATGCAGGATGCGGGGCTGGGACGCTACCGTGCCCCGAGCTGGCTGCCCCACACCGGGACGGGCACCAGCAGCTGGTGCTCACCGTGGCCAGGCTCTGGCTGTGCCAGGGGAGTGAGGGACTGGAGGAAGCATGTTCCTCAGGATTGGGCCCTGTCTCTGTGGGAATGACACCAGGCTTCATCTCCCGCTGTGCCAGGGGAAGCCCTGCCGTGGGGTGTAACCTCCCCTTCCCTGTAACCCCCCCTTTCCCCTGTGGCACCCAGTGCTGAGGCACACACACCCTGGGACCCCACATTGGGGCTCATTAAGAAGCATGGCTCCTCGTAAACAGCCTCGCTAACGAGCACTGCCCCATGAGGCACCGAGGCTTCCCCTGGACTGGGGCACATTGGCACCACAATGTGGGGGGGGTACAGGGGACCCCAGACGGTGTGGGCCCTGCTCCCCATGGTGGTGACCCCCACAGACATCGCTGGCCGTCGTGTACTGGGAGACTGGGGGCATCAGAGCATCATCACCAGCTGGGAGGGGCTGGAGCACAGCCCCAAACAGGCAGAGCCATGGGGCCACCATGGCCCAGGGCATGTCCAGGGGACTTTGGCAGCAGTTTAGGCCACAACACTGCGTCCCCACTGCGCCGGGCTCCTGTGCTGTGACCACAGAGCAACACCCCAAATGGATGCTCCCAAATCCCGGCAGCCCCAATGCCATCACTGGAGAACCCCAAGCTCTGCCTGTGGCACCTGTGGCACAGGGTGGGCAGAGCCACATGCCCGGCCGCAGGCCAGCAGCAGGCAGTGAGCCCACGGGCTCTGATTTCGGGCAAGATGATGGGAACAGACACTCAGAGAGGGACTTTGAGCTTCATTTCTCACCAACCACCCCCCGCAGAGTGGGCATGGGCTGCCCGGTCCTTGCCAGCCCCTGTGGCTGTCAAGAAGCCCCAGCAACAAGTGACCTGGGTCAGGAGTGACCCTCTCGGGCTGTGGTGGCCGGAGTGCAGGCAGCGGGGTGCGACGGGCTCCAGCAGTGCCCGAAGGGTTAAGCGCAGGAGCAGAACAGGCAGCATCTCTTCTGCACGACTGCATTTTTAGAGCAGGGCTTTGCAAGGCAGTGGTACCTTCCAGCAGCCTGTCGGCGCTGGGCAGATGGATGTCCCCTGGCAGAACCGTCCCGAGCACGGGCTGGGCTCAACGCCCACCGGCCCCGCACCGGCGGGACCCCGACTACCTGGCAAACCGCAGCCACTGGTGAGCTGGGCGGCCGCTCCGCTCCCATCTGCTGTGATAAATCTAGGCTGAATGCCGCACGCTCGCTCATGCACTGCTAGGGAGCGCCTGGTGCACTGCAGCACGCCCCGACCCCGGCGGCAGCGGCTCCAGGGGGGAGCAGACCCCCAGCTGGACCCCTGTGCTGTGGAGGCTTGTCCCCAAGGTGTGGGAAAGGCCTGGAGGGTGGTGGGGCCAGAGCTGGGCTTAACATCCCATGTTGATGGTGAGAGTGGTGAGGACTGGGGTGACATGGGGCATGCCCTGATGTGGGTGACAGTGTGGTGGCCCCAGCACTGGGGTCCAGGACAGACCCCCCCGCCCCAGCCCAGCTGGGCTCTTTGTTTGGCTCCGGCAGCTTCACCCTTTTGGCACATCCAGGGCCCATTGATCAGCCAGGGAACAAAAAAAGTGCCATTGATTTATGTGGTCCCCTTCCTGTCACCCCGAGAGGCGAAGGCGCGTCGATCACCGTGGCCAGTTTGCCCCAACGGACAGAGGGGACGGAGGCACAGACCCCCAGCCCACGCCCCACCGTGCCAACCCTCCCCACGCAGCCAGCACTGCGCAGTCACGGCGCCCAGACGGCCACGCGCGGGCTCAGCAGACAGCGCCTGCGACGCAGCCCACGCGCACGGGTGGCACGGTGCCACAGCACGGTCCCGTCCCCCCCCCCCCCCCCCCCC